GGATAAAAGGGCGAGCATGTTTGGTGGGATGGGGATTCGAACCCGCAGATTGCGAGTCGAGCTCCCTAACCACCTGGCTATGCCGGGCCGACATATATGTGATAAAATTATATACAAGAAAATAATATCAGTGATAAGAATGGTATCAGAAATGGTGTCAGTACAGTAGTCAGAGCACTATTGAGTCTGGACTGGTTCTTCTTTAACAGTATCTGAAAAGAACAATATTAAATATGTATTAATTAAACAAAAATTATAATTCTATAAATTCTAGTTTTTTTCTGAAATAGTGCTTTAAACGATTATGTATAATTTGAACTGTTTATGTAAAGACCTTTTTAAAGGTTCTCCATCATTAAGTTGATTTTTCAAATTTGGATTGAATTAAATATAAATAAAAATTGTAAATAGTGACTTACCGAAAGTAAATTTAGATTATGAAGTTCTAAGGTAATGTGAGCTCATTTCTTTTAGCACCACGACTAAATGATTACATATTTCGACATTTTAATGTATTTCACAACGATTATATTTTACAAATTTCATGATAATTCTGAAAATGTTCTGTTTTGCTTTTTAACTGGCATTTTGTCGTAGAAGCTAAAACGATTCCTCATGATAAAGGAAAATCAAGTAGAATGTATAAAAAGTAGAAAACAAGGAACTGTTTATAACGTTATTCTCTTTATCACAAAGTTCCCCGGTAGCTCAGCGACAAGTCTGAGGGCTTATAACGTTAAAACTTGGGTTTCGATAACCGCGATGGGCAGATAGTTCGTTGTGTAGCTTTTGCGACCTCACATCTTCATATTCAAACTATTAGATTACTTAAAACAACAGTACCTATAGTACAGAAATAGTTTGTTTTGTTGAAAAAACACAAAGTTACAGAATGGGTTAGCTGCGTTGTGATCACAGCAAGGATCGAAACCCAAGTTTTAATCTTATAAGCCTTCACGATTATCGCTGATTATCTCTGGGGTTTGCAGAAATAGGAACTAACATCAAATAAAATTACTGTTATTTATAGCGTTATGCATGTGTGTGTATTTCAATAATTTACACAATTTGAATATATATATATATACATAATTTAATTCACATTATAGACACATATGTACATTGAATAAATTAGTTATACGTTAAAAAAAATCTTACCAAGTGGTATTTTTGTCAGCAATGAAGGACTCCTTTTAAATTCCTTGAAAAGGTACCTATAGAATGAAAGAATGTCTATTGTTGATTGTTTTGTTTTTTCTTAACACCAACTGGATAAGTTAAATCAAATAATTACCTAAAGTAATTAGGTTGCTTTAATTGTCTATCACTAAATGTTTAAAATTTTTATCCTAAATAACCAAATCTCAATAAATCGCTTCTTTGTTATTTTAGTAAGTTTTACTTTTATTTTATATATAATCGTTACCGAAAGACACCGAAATATATGCCCGGCATGGCCAGGTGGTTAGGCCGCTCGATTGGCAATCTGAGGGTCGCGGGTTCGAATCCCTATCACAACAAACATGCTCGCCCGTTGATAAAAGAGTAGCCCAAGTAGTTGGCAGTGGGTGGTGATGACTAGCTATTTTCCCTCTAGTCTTACACTGCTAAATTAGGGACGGCTAGCGCAGATAGCCCTCGTGTAGCTTTGCGCGAAATTCAAAACAAACAGTTATATGTTGCGAAAAAAATAAAATTTTTGAATTTTATTATCCAGAAGAGAACTAAAACTTAACCGTTTAATCCAGTTCATATCATAACATTTGTTGTCAAGCAATAGAGGTTTTAACCACTAATGTGCCTGTGAGTCCTCTGGTGAGTCAGCGTTAAGTTTACGGTCTTACAACGCTAAATTCTGGGGTTCGATTCCCAGCGGAGAACAGATCAAAGATAACCCATTAGGTGGCTTTGCGAAAAAAACAAGAACAACAAATGTATCGTACCTCAGCCGGCCGGAAGAACTCTGGTATTTGACAAAAGGCCCTTTAGGTACCGGATATAGCAGATATGATGTGGTTGAAATGTTATTATATACTCTTCTTTAATTTCATTAAGACATTCTTATCAATATTTACTTGGAAACAGAGGAAAATGAGAAAAAAAAAACCCCAACCACAAATGAAATTCAGTTAGTGTTTTAAAATTTCCATGTAATTTAGCGATACAATCAATGACATAGTTTAAAAGAATTTCTGACTTTGTCTATATGAGCCAGACGTAACCTAATGGTTAGTGTATCGGACTGCGGAACGCAAGTTCCAAATCACGATATGACACTAAACACGCTTCACGCTTTCATCATTAGGAGTGTTATAATTCTGACATATTCGGTTAAACGTATATTCATAGGCGGTGGGTGCTATTGAGTGGTTGCCTTCCTTTTGGTCAGCAGTACTAAATTAAATATGGCTGTGTATGAACATTCAGGGTTTCTGACCTAGCCTTTTAACCATAAATAACACTATATCCGGTCAAAATGTTTAGAAGGGGTGTCGTTAGCTACGGAAAAGTTTCAGGGTTTGGGACCCAAGAAGCAGCTAGTACTCAAAATAACAAAACAAAACATAATTGTAACGTAATGTATTATAATTTACGTAAGACAGATGCGAGGCACTGTGAAATGCATCAGAAGCACGAACCCTGTGGACTGTTGTCCAGCGACGTCCCAGATGTCAAAATGTCACAGACAAAACGTTTCTAGTCGAAGTCTCTCGGTGGGTCAGCGGTAAGATTACGCACTTGTAATACTAAAATACGTGGTGCGATTTCCGCGGTGGGCAAAGTGCAGATAATCCATTGTGTAGCTTTGCAATAAAACAACAACAGCAATCCTAGTCGAAATGTCACAATAGAGTCATCCTATTATCTGTTCAATGTTTATTATATATATAGTTTAATATTACTTGTTCTGTGTTCATTATATATTATAAAATTTAATGCTATTTGTTCCATGTTTATTATATTGTATATAGTTAAGTGTTATCTGTTCTGTGTTTATTGTGTATTATATAGTTTAATGTTATCCAATATGTATTAATTATATATATATATATAATATGATAATTCTGAAACGGGAGCCACAAACACACCCAAATGCGACAACTGAAATAAACTTTAATGATTTTACTTAATTCAGCATTATTTTGTCCTCTTCTTTTTCGCGTTTTGTATTTGAATACTCTTGTTCTGTCATAATTAGATGGAAGCGTATGTGAAACTTCAGGCCTAACGAAGGAGTCGAATATTTTACGGGTATGAAAAATTCTGCTTATTGAAAGACACAAATGCACATACATAAACGATGACAATAAATAAATTATATAGCTCCTTGTTATTTGTTTTTATAGAATTTTATAAATACTGTGCCCTGCTAAATAAAACAGTTACGTTTCTTAGTAAATGTTTTACTCAAAATATGAAACATTAACCTAAACAAATGTGTTGACTGGAATTAAATATACTTACCCAAATATCATAGCTGCGATTAACTCGAACAGCGCAGCTAATGCAAAAGGAAATCCCTTAAAAAAAGTAGCTGTAACAGGATAAAGGCTATTGAATAGTAAGGGGCCTGTTAGAAAACACACATTCTGCATGGTAGCCAGAAAAGCAAATATTTTACCTAAATGAAAAGAAGTCAAAACTCAATTAGTCCTTGACAAGCACTTATACTTTTCTTTTAATTTGTTAATTTTTTTTTACTAATCACTCATGAAACTTTCTCTAAACAGTTTAACACTAACAAGTGTCTGGCGTGGCCAAGTAGTTAAAGTGTCAGAACGTTCTGTTTTGCGTCCCGTTAGTGCAAAATCATGCTTCTCATTTTCGGGCCGTTAGTGCGTCATAAGAGTGACAGTTAATACTCACTATTTAATTAGAGTAGTCCAAGAGTTGCCGGTGGATACTGTTAACTAGCTGTATTGCTTGTCTTGGGTATAGCTCATTGAAAATTCAATCAACTAACTTATTGAATGCTTTAAAGAGGGGTGTCCAGGTTTTGCTGAATTGCTAAGTTGGCTGACTGCATACCTGTCAATATTGAGAGGTGCTAAATTGGGAGAATTTTTGTGGAGGCACTGCAAAAGTGAGTAGCGTCCCCTGGGGGAGGGGTGGGGAGCATGCTTCGCCAGAAAATTTAGAAAAAAAGATGCCCTTTTATGCATTCTGGGGAGCTTCAGACACTTATAAGGTTGAAATGATGTTTCCATTTTTTTTCATTTACAGTGGGTTTATGTACTAAGAGAATCACAGTAATCTGCTAATATTGTTATACACTTTTATTGTAAGAATTGAAAAATGAAAAATACACATATCCTGATTAGCGTTTATTGTTATAATCGTATGTTGCACTTTTGGCATCTTTTAAAATCTGTTTTCTGGGCTTGTATTTACTGCCTGAGGAATCTGAGTTAAACTTGCACGTATTCTGT